CAAAATGTGGAAAAAGTCAAGGGGTCTGAATACTTTCCGAATGGACTGTACCTGCCTATAGACTCCACTACACCACTGGCCCTTTGTGTATTACAAAAAGTGCCCTCTCCTACATGATAGTATTACCGTTGCTGTCCTTTCAGCATCATGAGCCTGTCACACACTGAAGGCCTAGGTCCAATAGGTTCGCCACTGTGCAAACATGTCTATAATAGATATAAAGACTGTTACAATTTCCCCGTTTTCTTTACTACAGTTATTTTTTTATCGCTTTGGTACTACTTTCACAAGTATGTGGTCAGATTTCACAACTCTTAGTATAAAACTCAAAACAGATAATCAAAATGGCATTTCTTTCAAAACTTTAAGCACATTTTCAATTGGCTATGTACAACACACAAAATCACACAGTAACTTTTTCACCAAACCTAATCAGTGTTTCATCTAGAAATACCTTTCATATACAGTAACTGCCGTTCACAATGCAATGATCACAATACTTTCCATATGATTCTCTTCTAATTTGTTTAAATACATCATTTAATCCAACTGCTCTTAATGGTTAATCACTTAACCGTTTGGTAAACCTATAGATTTTAAACTGGCTTGTCTACTGTATATGGGCTTACAGAACTACAGAAATAAAATGTGTGTTTGTAAAGTATAAACATCTAAATTACATGTACAGTGAGGGAAAAAAGTATTTGATCCCCTGCTGATTTTGTTTGCTCACTGACAAAGAAATGATCAGTCTATAATTTTAATGGTAGGTTTATTTGAACTGTGAGAGACAGAATAACAACAAAAGATCCAGAAAACCGCATTTCAAAAATGTTATAAATTGATTTGCATTTTAATGAGGGAAATAAGTATTTGACCCCCTCTCAATCAGAAAGATTTCTGGCTCCCAGGTGTCTTTTATACAGGTAACGAGCTGAGAATAGGAGCACACTTAAAGGGAGTGCTCCTAATCTCAGCTTGTTACCTGTATAAAAGACACCTGTCCACAGAAGCAATCAATCAATCAGATTCCAAATTCTCCACCATGGCCAAGACCAAAGAGCTCTCCAAGGATGTCAGGGACAAGATTGCAGACCTACACAAGGCTGGAATGGGCTACAAGACCATCGCCAAGCAGCTTGGTGCGATTATTCGCAAATGGAAGAAACACAAAAGAACTGTCAATCTCCCTCGGCCTGGGGCTCCATGCAAGATCTCACCTCGTGGAGTTGCAATGATCATGAAAACGGTGAGGAATCAGCCCAGAACTACACAGGAGGATCTTGTCAATGATCTCAAGGCAGCTGGGACCATAGTCACCAAGAAAACAATTGGTAACACACTACGCCATGAAGGACTGAAATCCTGCAGCGCCCGCAAGGTCCCCCTGCTCAAGAAAGCACATATATAGGGCCGTCTGAAGTTTGCCAATGAACATCTGAATGATTCAGAGGAGAACTGCGTGAAAGTGTTGTGGTCAGATGAGACTAAAATCGAGCTCTTTGGCATCAACTCAACTCGCGGTGTTTGGAGGAGGAGGAATGCTGCCTATGACCTCAAGAACACCATCCCCACCGTCAAACATGGAGGTGGAAACATTATGCTTTGGGGGTGTTTTTCTGCTAAGGGGACAGGACAACTTAACCGCATCAAAGGGATGATGGACGGGGCCATGTACCGTCAAATCTTGGGTGAGAACCTCCTTCCCTCAGCCAGGGCATTGAAAATGGGTCGTGGATGGGTATTCCAGCGTGACAATGACCCAAAACACACGGCCAAGGCAACAAAGGAGTGGCTCAAGAAGAAGCACATTAAGGTCCTGGAGTGGCCTAGCCAGTCTCCAGACCTTAATCCCATAGAAAATCTGTGGAGGGAGCTGAAGGTTCGAGTTGCCAAACATCAGCCTCGAAACCTTAATGACTTGGAGAAGATCTGCAAAGAGGAGTGGGACAAAATCCCTCCTGAGATGTGTGCAAACCTGGTGGCCAACTACAAGAAACATCTGACCTCTGATTGCCAACAAGGGTTTTGCCACCAAGTACTAAGTCATGTTTTGCAGAGGGGTCAAATACTTATTTCCCTCATTAAAATGCAAATCAATTTATAACATTTTTGACATGCGTTTTTCTGGATGTTTTTGTTGTTATTCTGTCTCTCACTGTTCAAATAAACCTACCATTAAAATTATAGACTGATCATGTCTTTGTCAGTGGGCAAACGTACAAAATCAGCAGGGGATCAAATACTTTTTTCCCTCACTGTATGATACATGATAATCATACATAATGACTACTCGTTATTGCTAATTGATTTCACATAGTGGTCACCACAATTGGTCACCATATAAAAGGGTGTGTGTGAATACTTGCAATTTCTTTCAACATGTAACAGGATAGACAGCAAGGGAGAGGAAGAAATCAAAGAGCTTGTGGACAAGGTGCCCATCAAAGAGGTCAAAGAGGTGGACATCAGAGGTCGTGTCTACACTTGACACTTACATGCGACTTCTGCTATCAGAATACGAAGATCGCATTGAAAATACGGGTCTACTCGCTTTTGTGGTCTGATTGGGTTCAGATCTGGCTGACCATTTCAGGTGGTGGTCATGGATTTATTGTGTGCGGATTTCTCCCCAGTCTGGATGCAATCAGGCTACCGAAAGCACATACAGTGGGTGACGTCACCAGCATTCCTCCCACAAGTCTCCAGAAAACCTGTGTTTTGGGACAGAGAGGCACCTTTTCATTATAACGTTGGTGGAAATGCATTCCTAGCATGTGAGGAACGTGTTTGCTGGCCTCAAATGCTAGCTAATATTTAGAAACAATATGCTAACCCGTTTGCAATCCCTTTAGCGGTGCTTGCTAGCTTGCTGGCTAGCTACAGAGGTTAGCTGGCTAGTTAGCTACAGTAGTTAGCTACTGCCATCAGTTGTTGTTGTGTTATTATCATAGTTAGCCTATTCCACCGTTTATAGAATGCATACTGGCGTTTGAATATAGCGCGGGAAATGGGAATCCGGACACAGATTTAAATGTAGGTGCATGACGCGTTCGGAATTCCATGTCAGAACTATGATTAGAATACTAAAGCTGCATGAACTGTCAAGTCTAGACACGGCCTCTAGAGAGCGAGGCAGACGAAAGGAAACTGTTGTGTCTAATGAAGTCCGGCCATCGTCCTTGACCATGTGGTAAACAGAGGCCTTACCATGCCAGATTAGTTCACCCCAATCTGAAAAGAAAACCGGTAAGTCTGCAGGATATGCACTATGCTTTACCATTACATTTACAGTAAATGACATATAAATTCACAAAACATGTTACACTATTCTTACAGTGTACCCTGTTCTACCCTCAGAATTGACAGAAGACCCCATGTTGGTGGCCGTGTGCTGACCGACCAGCAGGAGTGGGCAGTGGTGGAAATGGTGAGGGCCAGGAATGACATTGCCATTGAGGAGAACGATGACACCTTTGCCAATGTGGCATCCATCAGCCTACCAACAATCGCCCACCTTTTGAAGAGGCACCAGGTATCTATGAAACACATTTACCAAGTGCCTGGACAACGTGGAGGAAACCGCTCCATGTGCGCAGCTATCTCTGAAGATGGTGTAGGCCATTACTTGGATCCAACAACGCTGCACACCTCATTGTGTTTCTCAATCAAATTGAGCAGGCCTATCAAGGTGAAGGGGTCACCTATGTAATTGTGTGGGACAATGTCAGGTTCCACCATGCAGAGGTGGTTCAGGCATAGTTTTCGGGCCCATCCCTGATTTGTGACCCTATACCTGCCCCCATACTCTCCTTTCCTCATCCCTATTGAGTTTTTTTTTTCAGCATGGAGGTGGAGGATGTACGATCACCATCCCTATGAGCGTGCCGCCCTCCTTCTGGCCATGGATGAGGCATGCGACGACGTCAATGCAGAACCAATGTCAAGCTTGGATTTGCTCAAGACAGGCTTGATGCAAATGAATGCGTGTTAAACGTTATGTTTTATTTTCATTCATTTAATTTCTTACACTTGATTACAGACAGTAAACCATGTTGCAATTATATCTGAAAAATAAAATGTTTTTTTGAATGGTTGTAGAGGATGTCTTCATTGATCACACATTGGATAGATATTATGGAAATTATAGATTTTCTGTAAATTTTGTTGGGTAATGTAAGTGTATTGCGTAATGTGAAAACTAATTTACAGTACTGTAGCATATTCCTTTCAGCACTTCTATGGCCGATTTGAAACGCATATCTTGCATTGCTTGCTATTGGATTAACTGGTAGTTAAAATGACTAAATTGAAAAGATATCATTGTGTGTTGGTGATTAAACTAATATTCTCATTACATTTCACAAACGTATATTTTGAGTGGTTGTGTGGTGAGATGTTTACAATCCAAATGAATGCACAATGACCGGTTTTGAATGAAAGACTGGCTGCTTTAGAAGTGTGCCCAGTTTGGAGTTTTGTACTAAGAGTTGTGAAAATGTACCAAATACTTGTGAAAATGGTACCAAAGCGATTAATAAAAACTAATAGCGAGCAATTTTCCAACAATTTCCCCCACTCTTCCCTACCAGCGAGGCAAGGAAATTCTGACAAAGTTTGAGAATATTTTTCAACAAAAGTAAAAGGACAGTAATGTTACGAGTAAAGTAGGTATCCCAGGTTTAAATAGACGTTAAGATATTGTTTCAAGAAAGGAGTGTATATATTTGGCCTGGTGACACGGTTTTATGCACTGACTGAATGGAAGCTTTTAATTATGAATAGGCTATTTTACTCCGCTGGTCTCGGGAAGAAATTACGAGTCCTCACTGTCCAAGACCGAGTAAAAATGTATCTGACACCGAGACACTCAATGTGGTCTCGAGTACTACAACACTGAGTAAAATACTGCTGGGCAGATCAAGAAGAGGAGGGATTCCATGTATCATGTGACAGGGGAAATGGTAAGTTATTTCAACAGGGCAGTGACAAAATACTAGCCTGTCCTAAAAACTTCATGATTTGGCCTCTCATTCTGCAGTCCTGTATCAAACACCTCTCACTCTCTCTCACCCACTAGCAAAGAAAACACCTTAAATTCTGTTTTTTATTTTTTTGTCAGACATAACTATCATTAGTGTGACATAACAGTATTCAAAAAAATATTCAGGAATGTTTACAATGATTGTGTGCAGTCAACGTTACCACTGTTCCACTCTCATTAAAGTGTTAATTTATCCACAGGCTTAAGCTGGTAGGTGGGTAAATTGTTGGTTGAGTAGTGATCCTGGCTGAGTGTGTGGGGCTTTGGGGTTGGTTCTGATGTTCTGGGGTATTGAGGGGCAGGGGCGCAGCCTCACTGGCTCAATCTGTAACATCAGCACACTGGTCTGCAGGGCACCCACTTCCACACCCCTCCCTCACCACCAAAGATAAACATATGTTGACTGTCCCACTTCAGGGTGTAGTAGCATGTTGCTATGGCGTTCTGGTGTGAGGCATTACTGTGGTGATCTCCAGGCAGGGGGCGTGTCAACGGTCCAGCGAGCGTTTCTGCATGGCCTCAGAGACGGCAGTCCTCAGCATGGCGATGACAGAGCGAGGGTCGTCACTGCTCACCACCGCACTGCCCGACACGATCATGTTAGCGCCCGCCTACCAGAGAGACACACAGAAAGAGAAACACACACACAGTGAACACCCATGGATGGACACAAGCAACAAGACAATGCAGTTAAGCATCAGGACACAAAGGGGCATGGTATGGGGAGGCATGTACACACCTCAGCACACTTGTGGATGGTAGAGGGACCCACTCCTCCGTCCACCTCAATGTCCAGAGAGGGAAACTGACTCCTCAGCCAACTAACCTGGACAAACAGAAACAGACAATGGAATGTCAATGACACGTCCCAAATATGCCACACATGGACCACATGTCCAAAACGGACACAACAAATAGATTCAATCAAGCCACACACAAATCCACAGACAACAAACAGTGAGAATCAAACAAAACAGAGAGACACACAGAGAACCCCCCTAACACATTGATCAGACAACTTCAAACTACATGTCACTTACCTGCCACAAGCAGATAACATTACTAAAATGTCTTATTCATACTCAGATGACACAATGTCAACTGAGGGTATTGTAACAAACCTCTGCATTCAAATGAATCTGAGTGACCTTGTGTATAAATCAGATTACAGATGAGGACAAAGAAGCTTTTTCATGCAGTTTATCATACACATGCTCTCTAGTGAGACAAATATAAGCCACAAAATAACACATAGGCTGCGTTTACACAGGCAGGCCAATTTTGATATTTTGCCCAATTATGGCCAACAGATCTGATCTGATTGGTCAAAATACCAACTAGTGGCAAAAACTATCAGAATTGGATGGGCTGCCTGTGTAAATGCAGCCTGATAGACAGACAGACACAACCACAACACACTACCTTCGGCATCATGTCCTCCATGAACTTCTGGCCTCCAAAGCCAGGCTCCACAGTCATGACCAGCGCCATGTCAATCTGTCCTGCCCATGGGGCCAACTCCTCTACTGTGGTCCCAGGCTTTATGGCCAGGCCCACCTAAAACACACACACACACACAGTGTGACATTACCATACATGGGTGAAGACGCACAACTGTTAGACGACACATAGTTGTGAACTTTCTCTGACTATGAATCTGTGACCATCCATTTCTCTCGCTCTCTGACCTCCCATATCTGGACCTCACCTCTGGTCTTTCTATAGTCAACTTTGCCTCTCTGTCTCACCTTCATGCCACTCTCTCTGATCTCCTTAATGAGATTTCCAGCATTGGTAGTGGTCTCCAGGTGGAACGTGTACTGATTAGCTCCTGCTGCTGCCATGGGTTTCACCCACTGCTCCGGCCTCGACACCATCATGTGCATGTCTATAGGAGAGAAACATACACACACAGACACTTTTGAGATGGCTTCTATGCAAAGAAGAACAAAGTAGCATGGTGGCCCCAGTGTCAGTAATAATGGTACCTGTGGTCAGCACATTCAGCTAGAATAAATAGGTCAATGTTTTGTTGTCATACAACAGGGATATATTGTAACCATATCAGAGTGTGGTTTCATTACTGACCAAAGAAAGGGTCTGGCCCCACGCAGTTCCTCAGGCACTCCACCATGGGATGGCCAAACGTGATGTTGGGGACAAAATGACTTCAGGGGAACGAGATAAAATCATTATCCTCATGTGACTGATTCTACTCCAGTCACATTGGTGCTGCTACAAGGCAGGCAGATCAATAACAAAAAATGCTAATCACAGTGCTGAATAAAACATAAACTGACCAAAGATAAGTGAACAGAGGATGTCGTAAACAGAGTTGCAGAATGTTATGCAATATGGACTGGTTTTGCAATCTGCCATGATGTTGACATCACCCATAAGGACTTTTAGCTTGACTTCTAACAAGAGATTATCACAAGTCAACAGCAGCAGCAGTGATTGCTAACGTTAACTAAAATGTGCATTCATTCACAGTGTTACAGCTAACGTTAGCTAGTTAACTGCCTGATTTGTGATTTCTATTGGACTGAGGCTATGCTAGTTAGCTAGCGTGCTCTCTGGATTTGCTCACCCGTCCATAACGTCGAGGTGCAGGTAGTCAGCCCCGCACTCCATCATTCGGACGCATTCACTGCCCAGGCAGGCGAGATCACTGCTGAGTATTGACGGGCCTATCTTTGCGCTGTAAGACATGTTGAAGGTCTCTGCTCTGTGTGCTTGATTGCAGTTCAAGAAGTACTCCAACGTGCGAGTTTGCTACTTCCGTGTTCAACGCTGCTTTCAAAATAAAAGTTCAAACACCTCGAACGTTGCTGTTCCAAACGTTGCCACTGGATGGCGTATAAATCATACCTAATTGACACCACTTTTCACATATTTTCCCGTGTTGAAAAATAACTTTATATTGCCCACACAGCTCATATATTTTCTCAGTTGGCTGTAAGAGTTAGTGGGCAGGGCGTTTGACTGAAGGTTGACAGGGAGAGATGAGCTGGGTTGGGCCCCATCCCTGAGAATATGGGGGACCGTTTCAGTGTGTGTGAGAACTGGCAGCCCACTGAGAACAGGAGTCAGGGCCAGACAGGGCCAAGGTCAATGGTCACACAAAGGACTCTCTCTCTCTCTCTCTCTCTCTCTCTCTCTCTCTCTCTCTCTCTCTCTCTCTCTCTCTCTCTCTCTCTCTCTCTCTCTCTCTCGCTCTCTCTCTCTCACACATACACACACACACATTTTTGTCCAAAGCGTTTTTGACTGTGCCTTGCTGTGGTCAGAGGCTTGCTTTTGGAGTGGTGTAAAGGTTATGAAGAGTTCATCCGCAGTCCAACCTCCAATCTATTATGATTTATAAGAATGTGAAAAATGAATTACTGGAAATTCCAGCAGCATTTTCTGTGGCCACTATAGGCCCAGTCACATCCATGAGGGTAAACACCAATGTGACATTTATGGGTTTGGGCTGCGGGTCGCGTTACCTCTGTAGAGATCAGCCATGGTGGCATGGTATCCACCAGGGGACAGGAAGGTAATATGTTATTCTCACGTTGGCTTGAGTTAGAGTAAGTGGTTGTCATGGTGAATGGGAGCCTTGAGTAAGAGCCCCTGAGGGAGAGCTTTAAAGATTTAGGATTTGACAGCCTCTCCATACACACACACACACACACACACACTCACACACACACACACACACACACACACACACACACACACACACACACACACACACACACACACACAGGCCCTCTCTCTCTCTCTCTCTTTCTCTCTTTCTCTCTCAGATGCCATCCTGAGAGCTTTAGAGGTGATAAAGTAGTGTCCTGCAGGGGTACAATGAAGGCCATTTGTAAAGAGGCCAGGCAGGGTTGTCTTGAATACAAATCTACCTGTCTGCTCTATAATATATATTGTTTCTCTGAGGTTAAGAGGGTTTCCACTGGGCACAGATGTCAATTCAACGACTATTCCACTTAGTTCCACGTCATTTAAGTGACATGGAAACAACGTTGATTCAACTAGTGTGTGTCCAGTGAGTTAATATTCTTGACTTTACATGAGGTGACATTGTAAAGTGGTGCTCTCGGCGGTGGAAGTTTTAGTGGGAAGGCAGACAAGATTCCCTGTGCAATGCCCAGTTTGAAAGCTTTTTGTACATGTATTTACAACAAAAACAACAGAATGACAAATTGAGAAAGTAACACAACCTGCACCGCACGCAACTGCAGGGCTCTCCAGAAGGCGGAGCGGTCTGCCCAATGCATCACCGGGGGCACACTGCCTGCCCTCCAGGACACCTACAGCACCCGATATTACTGCACTGCTGGAGCTAGGAACACAAGCATTTCGCTACACCCTCAATAACATCTGCTAAATATGTGTATGCGACCAATAAAATTTGATTTGATTAGAAAATATATTAATGACTCAAAATGCAGCTAGCCAGCTACAAACTCTAACTTGCATTTCTAACATCAAGAGCACTGGAAATCAACACAAACATTCAATCATTAAATGTGCTTTCCCGTAATCAATAATCTGTTTCCTTATTGTATGGGTTTTAATAAGGCAAGTCAGAATTATAAGGCACGAACAATTGACACCATTCTGTGACAGATATTGAGTAGAATAGTCTACACTGAACTAGGATGTAAAACGTAGGCCTAATGCTAAGAACTGAACCTAAACTAGATGTTATTTTCTGTTTGACGGTAGGTTTTGACCAGAAGCGGCGCCTCCGCTTGAGAACGCTTCGCTCCAAAAGATTGGCCGCTTTGTGGGCGTGGGCATAGGCGTGAACCTATTTAAGCAAGTAAGTAAATAAATATTGATTATTTTTTTTTTAACAATGTATTATTAGCTAGCTAGCAAGCCAACTTTACATACTATAGCTAAGTGAAATATCATCAGCTAGCTAACTTCATATTAGCTTGTTATCTTGATATAAGCATATTTATCATATCAGTAAATTAAAAACTCATGCTCCAAATGCATTTGTAGTTAACAGCAATTGAAGAGGGTGAAAGGATTTTCTGCTCCAGCTGTCAGAAAAGGGTGTACTAGTTAGATAGGGCAGGTTGTGGGATAACATTATGAAAAGATTCTCCAGTATAGTCCTAGATTGGAAATATATGAAGGCAGACAGATAGATAATAGTCAGGGCTGTGTAATTGTAATATAATGAAGCCTGTTACTTTGTGATGTTGTCTGTCCTCAGATATGGAGAGCTGCAAAAGCCTGTCTGCAGATGAAGAGGTCCAGTTAATTTTTTTCCTCTGAAGCTAAGCAGGGTTGGTCCTGGTTGGTCCCTGGATGGGAGACCAGATGCTGCTGGAAGTGGTGTTGGAGGGCCAGTAGGAGGCACTCTTTCCTCTCATCTAAAAAAATATCCCAATACCCCAGGGCAATAATTGGGGACATTGCCCTGTGTAGGGTGCGGTGTAGGGTGTTAACCCCAGTGTCCTGGCTAAATTCCCAATCTGATGGCCCATACCATCATGGCCACCTAATCATCCCCAGCATCCAATTGGCTCATTCATCCATCCCCCATGACTCAGCCATGCCTCATTGCCCATCCAACATTTCCTCATCTCCCACCCCGTCTAATGCGACTAGCCCCAATGCTCCTCCCTCTTTTTCCCCTGCCCCGCTACACAGCTTCTCCCAGCAGGCAGTCACTGAGTCTGAGGTGCTAAAGGAGCTCCTTATACTTGACCCCAAAAAAACATCTGGGTCAGATGGTTTAGATCCTTTCTTCTTTAAGGTTGCAGCCCATATCATTGCCAAGCCTATCTCTGACCTTTTTAACCTGTCTCTCCTCTCTGGGGAGGTTCCCATTGCTTGGAAGACAGCCAAGGTGCATCCTTTATTTAAAGGGGGAGATCAAGCTGATCCTAACTGTTATAGGCCAATTTCTATTTTGCCCTGTTTATCAAAAGTGTTGGAAAAACGTGCCAAAATTCAACTGACTGGCTTTCTTGATGTCTGTAGTATTCTCTCTGGTATGCAATCTGGTTTCCGCTCAGGTTATGGATGTGTCACTGCAACCTTAAAGGTCCTAAATGATGTCACCATTGCCCTTGATTCTAAGCAATGTTGTGCTGCTATTTTTATGACTTGGCCAAAGCTTCTGATACGATAGACCATTCCATTCTTGTGGGCCGGCTAAGGAGGATTGGTGTCTCTGAGGGGTCTTTGGCCTGGTTTGCTAACTACCTCTCTCAAAGAGTGCAGTGTATAAAGTCAGAACATCTGCTGTCTCAGCCACTGCCTGTCACCAAGGGAGTACCCCGAAGGCTCGATCCTAGGCCCCACGCTCTTCTCAATTTACATCAACAACATTGCTCAGGCAGTAGGAAGCTCTCTCAACCATTTATATGCAGATTATATAGTCTTATACTCAGCTGGCCCCTCCCCGGATTTTGTGTTAAACGCTCTACAACAAAGCTTTCTTAGTTTCCAATAAGCTTTCTCTGCCCTAAACCTTGTTCTGATCACCTCCAAAACCAAGGTCATGTGGTTTGGTAAGAAGAATGCCTCCCCTGAGGGTTTAGAGCTTGAGGTAGTCACCTCATACAAGTACTTGGGAGTATGGCTAGATGGTACACTGTCCTTCTCTCAGCACATATCAAAGCTGCAGGCTAATGTTAAATCTAGACTTGGTTTCCTCTATCATAATCACTCCTCTTTCACCCCAGCTGCCAAATTAACCCTGATTCAGATGACCATCATACCCATGCTAGATTACGGAGATGTAATTTATAGATCGGCCGGTAAGGGTGCTCTCGAGTGGCTAGATGTTCTTTACCGTTCGGCCATCAGATTTGCCACCAATGCTCCTTATAGGACACATCACTGCACTCTATACTCCTCTGTAAACTGGTCATCTCTGTATACCTGTCACAAGACCCACTGTTTGATGCTTATTTATAAAACCCTCTTAGGCCTCACTCCCCCCTATCTGAGATACCTACTGCAGCCCTCATCCTCCACATACAACACTCATTCTGCCAGTCCACATTCTGTTAAAGGTCCCCAAAGCACACACATCCCTGGGTCGCTGCTCTTTTCAGTTCGCTGCAGCTAGCGTCTGGAACTAGCTGCAAAAAATTAACGACAAACATCTATGAAACCCATTACCAGTGCCTGGACAACGTGGATGAAAATACAGCTCCATGTGCGCAAGCTATCTCTGAAGCTTAGTGGTAGTTCCATTACGCTTTGATCCAACAACTTGTTAGCCACCTTCTTGTCTCATTGTGTTTCTCCAATCAAATTGAGCAGGTGCCGTATCCAGGTGAAGGGGTCCCTATGTAATTGTGTGGGACAATGTCGTGTTCCACCATGCAGAGGTGGTTCATCAGGCATAGTGTTTCTTCGGCCCATCCCGATTTGTACTCCTATACACTGCCCCCATACTCTCCTTTCCTCATCCCTATTGAATTGTTTTTTTTTTTCCGCAGAGGCTGGAGGGAATTACATCACCATCCTATGAGCGTTCCGCCCTCCTCTTCTGGGGCCAGGATAGGCACTCGACGACGAAGTCAGGCAGAACCATGTCACTTGGATTTGCCATGTCAAAAGGTGGTTTCCTTTGGTGCATGAACAGAGGACAATCACGTGATGTGGAGAGAGATGTATGGCCAATATGCTCAACAAAGGCTTGATGCAAATGAATGCGTGGTTTAACCGTTAATGTTTTTATTGTTCATCTTTAATTCTTACACGTGACTACAGACATGAAACGCATGTTGTCAACTTATATCTGCAAATATACAATGTTTT